GGAGGGGCGGCGCAAGAGGGGAAGACCCTCTATGAGATGGATTGATTCAGTGACTGGGGTAATTGGGGTGGGTGTGTCGGAGGCAGTGCAATTGGCACAGGATAGAACAGGGTCTAGGGCTGTTTTACATAGGGTCGCTATGAGTCGCAAACAACTCGACGGCACATAACAACAACAACAACATGTTAAAATAGACCAGGCAGGCCACTAACTTATCCAGCCGCCTACAGGATTGATTTGGCGCAGAACTGCATTAAAATGGAATTCTTTGCCTGTTGCATTAAATTGTGTTACTTCAGAACCTGCAAGCCTGTTGCTTTCTAAGTCGGTATTCCTCAGCTTGTCTGTCTTTGACAAGACTTGGAGGAATTAAAGCAGCACCTTTCTGGGAAGACCAGTATGGACTTAAATACAAATGCTTACTATTATTTTTCTCTACCTTTCTCCCAACAGTGAATAATAGCAGAATATATTATTATTAATTCTGGTGTCAAGAACTGTAATGTCATTTACTTAAAAGGCCATTGTAAACCATTTCAGTCTTTGAAACAAAGAATATTTTTCACAAATGTGGATCTTCTTGAGAACCTCATTAAAAGAAGTGTATCAACTAAGGTTTTCTAGTTATCTACTAGCTTACACATCAGTTCACAGTGTCTGTTAAACAGGCTGAAACATCCCTAAAATTTATCTGTATATTCATAATGAGTGGTTTGGTAGGACAGTGTTGGCCCTGACACTGCTCCTGCTGATGTTTTGAATGTTGTTCTTTAGAGTCTTCATGACCTCATGTTTGCCCTTGTGGATGTAGTGACAAGGGTTCTCTCTACCTTTGTGTATGGTCTTATTAAGGAAGGACGACAGTGTGTGTGTGTGTGGGGGGGGGTGTTAGTGTTGCTTCTGTATGTTCAGCATTTGCTCCCAAAGCCAGGAATGTATCCTTAGGAAATACTGCCTTTGGTTTGGATTTTGGTCTGATTTTTAAAGAACTGACAGGATCCAAAACATCTTACTAAGAAGTGACAGAGCATAGAGTCATCTGACCTATGACAACTTTTCCCAATTAATCTTTACTCATAATGCAAAGATCAAAAATCTTGGTGGCAGGAATGTGAAACAAAATCATTACCTGCTTAAATTGTTTAAGTAACACAAAAGCAAGTTTCTTTCTGCTCACAACTAACAACAAATAATTGATTTTTAACACTTAGTAACTGATTTTTTTAAATAGTATTTTACTCTTACTTCATTTTCTCATCCTCATGTAAATTGCACTCAGTCTGTCATTTGTTGTTCCTTCAAGCTATATAAAGCAAATGTAACCAATTAGCCTAGGGGAAAAAACCCAAGAAGACAGCTGTATCATTTGAGAAAAAGGTAAATTCTTAGAAATGGGTTTTCAATCAAATTGTCACACGTTATCAAAGCATCCTTTAAAGAAATGAAATAAAACTAAATTTAAGTGGGAAAAGCAAAACAAGTCTGTGAAAATATTTGAAAGGCAAGTTTTCTGTGCTTACCCCTCTGCTTGCTTTGTTTTATTGCTAGATGACTCCTAAATCCAAAAGGAAGAGTATCCATAGCCGAATGCTGCGGCCTGTTTCCAGAGCCTTTGGTAAGCCACTCCAGAGCCTTTGCTCATGCCAGTCATTCCTTTCTCATTATGAAACACCCTTCAGCAAGAACCTCAGACTGATTCTGTGACATTTGACAACCCTATGGCACAATGGTATTCTGCATGTAGAAGTCATCATGCATTGGAACCAGCTTGACAACTAAAAACTAAAAATATTGTATGTCATCGAGTTGATTCTGACTCATGTTGTTTTTCACTACTGTGGAGTCTGAACCAACTCAGCTGATCCTCCATTGGATGTTCAGTGACTAAATCAAATGGAAAGAAATTGTTCATATTTCTCCCAAGGAGCAGTTTATGGATGTGAACCTTCTGCCTTTGGGTTGACAGCCCAAGTCCTTACCCATTAAGCTACCAGTGCTCACTAAGACCTGATGTTATGTGCTGTCAAGTCAGAACTGACTCATAGCTGGCCCACCAGTGGATTTTCAAGACTGAAAAAATTGCATGGAAAGAAATTGCCTACCTTTTTCCTCAGAGCAGCTGGAGGAGATTGCTCATGTTTCTCCCACAGAGCAACCGGATTTCACAGTTCAAATCCTTACTAGATCATACTATTTATGGAAGCAGACTGCTATATCTTTCTCCAGTGGAGAGGCTGGTAGGTTCAAAATCCAACTTTTTAATTAGCAGTCAAGCAGCCAGGAAATTAAAAGGCTCATTGCCATGGGAAAGTCGGCTGTTAGGGACCTCTCCAAAGTGCTGAAGAGCAATGGTATCTCTTTGGAGACTAAGGTGCGTCTGATACAGGCCATGGTCTTCGCAAATCACCTGTTATGCATCAGAGAGTTGGACAATGACCAGGGAGGATAGAAGGAGAATTGATGCCTTTGAGCTGTGGTGCTGGAGAAGAGTATTGAGAATACCTTGGACTGCTAGGAAAACAAACAGATTTGTCCTGGAAAGGGTTAAACCGGGTGGCTCCTTGGAGGCAAGGATTCTGAGGCTCCATCTAACATACTTTGGACATGTTGTGAGGAGAGACCGGTCCTTAGAGAGGGACATCATGCTTGGGAGGGTGGAGGGACAGCACAGGAGAGGAAGGCCCTCTATGAGGTGGATTGATTCAGTGACTGGGATAATTGGGATGGGAGTGTCAGAGACAGTGCGATTGGCACAGGACAGAGCGGAGTTTAGGGCTGTTGTACATAGGGTCGCTATGAGTCGCAGGCGACTCGACGGCACATAACAACAACAAGTGTTTAACCATTTTTAGTCAAAGTTCCTTCACAGCAAATATTATGGATGGTTAAGAAAGTTCAGTGGTTTATAAATGACATTTCTTTATACCATAAAAGATTTAAAATTACTCAGTAGAATTTGAGGGTTTTTTTTCTATCAGTCTGTATGCAGTAAGTTTAATCGGGGCTTTGTTTTACTTTAGAAATGGAGTTTGATCTGGATAAAGCACTGGAAGAGGTGCCAATTCACATTGAAGACCCGCCCTTCCCATCCATCAGACAGGAGAAGCGGAGCTCAGGGTTCATCTCAGAACTACCCTCCGAGGAAGGGAAGAAGCTGGAGCACTTTACCAAGTTAAGGCCAAAACGGAATAAGAAGCAGCAACCCACCCAAGCCACGGTAGGTGGTCTAGAATCCCCATTTACGCTTTCCTTCTCAAGTGGAGGGCTGGTGAATTTTCATGAACTACATTGCATAGTGTGAAAACTAGTTTGTTGGAGTTTCCTGGACAATTAACATGCTCAACTTCTAGCTAAAAGGTTAGAAGTTTGAGCCCACCTAGAGCATCCTCTGAAATAAGCCTGATGATCTCTTTCCCCCAAACCATTCATCATTGAAAACTGCATGGAATGAGTTTCTACTCTAATGCACGTGTAATCTCCATGAATTTGAGTAGACTTAGCAACCAACTGGTTCTTTAGTTTGGAGAAGACAAGTATTCCATTGAACAGGGCTACTCTTGGAAGTCCTTAAGTTATCTCTGTGTATAAAGTAGCCATGTCTATAACATTTTGGAGTAATCTGGGTGAAAAGATACAAAATTAGCACCAAATTATTGGTTTGTAATTAAAAATTGTTTGCATTTGCTTTTGGAGTGTACACTTACACTGCCCTACTGCAGTGCTTAGACCCTTACACTGCCCTTCTGCAGTGCTTAGACACCGGGGTTTCTGCTTTTGATAATCTAGAAACTAATATTGTATGAACTAGTTATATTATCTTCGGAATCTTCAGATACTCTTTCTTCTACAGTAGAACAAACAAAAAAATTGACCTTCAAGTCAATTCTTATTTGTAGTGATCCTCCATTGGATTTCCAAGGCTATAAATCTTGACATAGGTTTGTTCATAGGGTTTTTGAAGGCCTGTTATTTTGGAAGTGGATGACCAATCCTGCGTCTTAGTCTGTCTTAATTCTAGGAGCACTGCTGCAACCTGCCCACCATGAGTGAACTCCTTCTGGCATTTGAAATACCAATGGAATAGCTTCCAACATCATAACAACCCACAAGCTATCCTAGTACAGAAGACTGACAGACAAGTGTTATACTAATAAGAACAAATGTTAAATAAGACAGCATATGCACACCTAAGATACAGAGTAATTGACAACGTGCAACTTACTCCCCAGTATAGCAAACTGACAGATAGATGTTATACCTCTAACAACAAACAATTAAGACAATCAGGCATACAAATATTGTGGCACAGAACAACCTTTTCTGGCCCCAGCTGAGGTCCATGGTGGCATAACAGGATGGGGTCTTGATTTGGGGTAATTGACAGTGAGTGACTCAGCTGCATCTTACAGCCTCTAACAATAACAAATCTTGACAGGAAGAAATTTCCCATCTTCCTCCTAAGGAAGGGCTTGTGTATTCAAACGATTAGCCTTTCAGGTAACATTCCAACATACTACCAGGGGCCCTTTCTAACACGGTAGAAGATTGAATTGTATGTTTTAATGAAACTTAATGTCTTTTACCCCAACTCTTTCTAGCCATTTTTCTCCTTACCTGCAAATTTCCTTGAAAAAAAAAATGTGTCTTCCTCTCTTTTCTTCACCTTTCTGTCACTCTACAACCCACCAAAATCTTTATCCTGTAGTGGAGATTGTTGTTAGCTGCCCAATTTATGATGACCTCATGCGCAGGAAAACACAATGCTGCTTTATCCTCTGCTATCTAGTGATCAGTTAGTTACCAATCCATAGAGTTTTCATTGACTAATTTTTAAAAATAGATCCCCAAGCTTTTCTTCCTGTCCAGCTTTACTGAAACCTGTTTGGCATCACAGCAGCACACAGCCTTCCACTAATGTGTGGGTAGTGTCTGCACAAAAAGTGCACTGGTTGGGAATAGAACCTAGGTCTTGCACATGGAAGGTGGGAATTCCACCACCATAGCATCACTGCCTCTTTATTCTGTAACTACCCACTCCCCAGACTACCCTGTAGAGTTCACCCTCACCAAATCCAGTCATCTCACTTGATGTCTCAGCAGTTAACACCTGTAATCACACCTTTTTTGAAAGCCTTTTCCCCTTGGCCTCTGAGTCTTTTTACACTTTTTTATACCTCTATTACTAGTGAAGACTTTTCATTTATCCTCTACTTAACCTTTAAGTGTTTGATTCATTGTCCAGATGACCTCTTCTAAACCATGGTTGTGGTCTCTGTGGTTTTTGGCTCATCTTCCAATCTCCAGCTCAGGTTTCTCTCCTGCACTTTGGACTCTTAATACCTACCTCCCTTTTGTACATTTTCTTCTTCTGGCCTAGGCTTAATAAAATAAAATTAGAATGCTTAGCCCTGATAAATTTAGCTTCTGCTTATATTCTAGTTTCCCAGTAGCACATCACTGACAGAAAAGTTAGAAGCCAAGGTGTGATCCACACTCCAACTTGTCTTGCGTGATCCTTGGCTACATCTCTTGTCTTCTCCTACTCCTAGCCTGACTTCTAACCCTCTAGTGCTACAGCCTTTTCCTCACCTCCATGCTTTCTGAGCTAATTTTTAGACCTCAACTAAAGAAAACCTCCTCCCAGAAACCTACTCCATTTCTACCTTTGTAGCCTCAAGGGTTACTTTTGCACAGCTTCTAGGAGTCCTCGCAGGCTAGTGGTGTCTAGTACATGGCCTAACTGACCCTGGCTCCTCCACTGCCTGTGTTTCCACTCTATGCATTAACAAAGTAAAATTTGACTAGCTTAACAGAAATTTATTTTCTCTTAATTCTGGGGACCAGGGACCCAAAATCAAGGTACTGGCAAGGTGTATTCTCTGAAGACTATAGGGGAATTGCCTTGTCTCTTCCTGACCTTGATAATTCCTGGCAGTCTTTGGTATATTTGGTTCTAGATGCATCATCACTGTTTCAGTCTCTGCCTCCATCATCACATGGCCTCTGCCCTCTTTTTCTATGTCTATGGCTCTACATCTCTTCTCTTTGAATGAGGATATAGTTCCATCATATTGTACTAGGAACGTGTCCTACTTCAATATGACCATATCTTGTTGGGGGACACAGTTCAATCCATAGCATTCTACTGCTTTTGTTACACATTCTTTTTCTCATCAATCTTCTCCCTTTGTCAGTAAGACAGGGCATGTGATTCATTGTTGTTGTTGTTATGTGCTGTCAAGTTGCCTGTGATTCATAGCGACCCTGTGTACAACAGCCCTAACCCCTGCTCTATCCTGTGCCAACCTCATTGTCTCCAACACACCTACCCCAATTACCCCAGTCATGGAATCAATCCACTGCATAGAGGGTCTTCCTTTCCTGCGCTGATCCTCCACCCTCCCAAGCATGATGTCTTTCTCCAAGGACTGGTCCCTCCTTGCAACATGCCCAGAGTATGCCACACAAAGCTTCGGAATCCTTGCCTCCAAGGAGAAGCCTGGTTTAACCCTCTTCAGGATGAATCTGCTTGTTTTCTTAGCAGTCCATGGTACACTCAATACTCTTCTCCAGCACCTCAGCTCAAAGGCATCAATTCTCCTTCTATCCTCCCTAGTCACTGTCCAGCTCTCTGATACATAGCAAGTGATTGCAAAGACAATCACCTGTATCGGGTGCACCTTAGTCTCCATAGTGACACCATTGCTCTTCCCATACTTTGGAGAGGTCCCTAACAGCAGACTTTCCCATTGCAATGTGTCTTCTAATTTCTTGGCTGCTGGTGCCAAGAGTGTTGACTGTGGAGCCAAGCAAACTAAAGCTGTGAACAATCTCAATTAATTGGGTTTAACCTCAGCACTTGGCTTTAGAATATAATAAACCAAACCCACTGCTATAGAGTTGCTTCTGACTCCTAGCCACTCTCCATCAAGGCTAGTGTTTATGGAAGACTGCCATCTTTTGGCCTTAAAGCAGCTGGTGGGTTTGAATCACTGGCCGTTTAGGTTAGCTGCGTGACACATAACACACTATGCCTCTGGAGCTTCTTTTAGATGCTTGTTAGTCCTTGTTTGATAAATAGGGGGCTGACTGGAGATATATGGATGGATGAACTGCACAGTAAATTGTCTGTGAGTTCAAGTATGACTTGATTTTAACTTTTTAATTAGCTAACATAAACAAGTTTGTATATTTTAGAGCAGTTTTTGTTAGTTTGTTGTTTGTTTGTTTTTTAATAAGAGAAAGATCAATCCCCATAGTAATGCAATGCTAAGTTTTAAACTCTTGCTGAATAAGTTTTTTTTGGTCTGTTTTCATGTAGAGATTCAGTATAATTTTTATGTAAATCATGGCTTATATTTTGTCTTGTCATTAACCCTTGGAAAGAAGAAATTTTGTGTTCTTTCTTCTTTAAAATATAAAGGAAAGAAACCTACAGAATACTAGAATAGAAAGCAGTACCCTGAGGTGGAGTAATTTCTGACTCACAACCAGCCTTCATTGGGTCCCAAGGCTGCAACTCTTTACAAGAAGAAACTGCTCATATTTCTCTCACAGAGTTGCAAGTAGCTGGGAGCCACTAACCTTTTGATTACCAGCCCACCATGTAACACATTATGCTACCAGTGTCCTAGATATATTCTAGGGTGATTTAGCTTTGTCCATAGGGACTTCTTGTGGCATAGTCATAGGAAGTTAGCAGCTAACCCAAAGGCCACACCTCTCTGCAGTTCATTAAAGTTACTTAGTGAGTAATATCTTCCCATGCAATTTGTAGCCCAGAAAACCAATGCCGGATCCAAGGCTCTCAATCACCACACACTAGGCTCTTCCATCCTAGATACTCTACAACAAAAGGTACATTTCCATGACTACAGCCTTGATGATTGTAGTCGTGGTGATAACCAAACCCACTGCCAAGTCCATTCTGACTCATGGTGACCCTCCATTGAGTTTCTTGAGGGTATTTTCGAGAAGAGATGATCTTTCTTTCTTCTGAGGAGCTGCTGGTAGATTTAAAACCACCACCCCTTCAGTTAGCAGTCTTATCCATAAAGGGCTTCACCATTTGGACTTCTTCATGATGGGAGTTGGGGTTTTTTGGTTTATTTTTAAAAAGAAAAGAAAGACAAAACCAAACTCACTGCCATCAAATTGATTTTTAATTAGAGTGACCCTATAGGAAGAGAGAACTGCCCCATAGAGTTGTTAAGGCTT